CCAAACAAAACTGCACTGCCTATATTCTGACTTTCAAAAATGACAATTTCATTTGGTTCAACGTAAGTGCTTGTATAGGCACAAAACATTACGGGAATATACAAGGATCTGAAGAGATGACTCAGAGGATGGGTCTGAGCTGGGTGAGTATCCAGTGTACCCTTTACTACTCTGTGGCTTACCATGCGCATTTGTTACTGTTTTTCTTTTTAAAGTGGGTACACCCAAAGAAGACTGAAAAAAGTAAATGTTTTCTTCAAAAGCAGATTCAGTTGCTTCTAAGTAAAAATAAAGAGCCCGCAACAGCAAGAAGAGTGAGGAATAATTCACCAAACCAACACACACAAAAAAGAATTTGTGAAATTCTCAAAGAAACATACAGTGCTTTCTACCTCTGGTGCTGGAGAAATTTAGGAGAAAAAAGCAAGAGAGGAGTCAGTTAAAGTCTGTCTGTCTGCTACCAATCACAGTTGGGATCTGATGAAAGGCAATATCATGTGATGGGTAAATACTTAAATGAATACTGAAAGTTCAAGTAAACACCAAGTTTAAAAATACATGATTTTCCAAAGCAATTCAAAAACCATTCAAGCTAAATGTTCCCTTTCTCCAATTAACATTTCCCCTTACACAGTTCATCATATCCCACCGAAGAATCTGAATTTTCCACAAGTCCCACAGAATGAATTGAACAGAAATGGGCAAAGCCCAATCATGTACATTACATAAGCTGCTGGAAATGCACAAGGTACAGATATGCCTGATTCCTTTCTCTAGATTCCTGGACTGAGAAGTTCTGATTGCTTCAGTCACAACGATCACTCTCAAATGCCCTATAGCTACCAACTCGTATTTGAAAAGCACACTTTGAGAAGGACCAAAATAAAACGGACATCTCATCTTCTAAGCCAGGTTTCCTGGGATGAACACATTCCTCAACGTTAAGATCTGAAGCGGAGAGGTTGTGGCAGGAGTTGGGGCGAAGGAGGCAGCGCAGTCCCCCATCCCTGCCTCACTCCATCTCCTGCATTTTCGAAGCGCAACATTCACAGGCCCCGAGGGGTTTTGAAAGGCTCTTGGCCTAACTTATTTATATTCACCCAAAGGTGGTTGGATTTATAAATTGCACACTATTCTGGCATTACAATCATCACTGCCACTGCCACCTTGACCATGTTTGAATGAAGCATCTGTTTTCCCACATACATCTCACCTCAGGCTTCCCCACACACACTTCACCCTTCTGCAACTGGTCTTAAAATACTTGTATTTCTCTTTTCAAGATCATTGTTCACTATTTTATCCTTGATGTTTAGTGGTCACTGTCTTTGTTCTTTTGTTCCTTTTACCATGTGCATTTTTAATTACATTTTGTTTTACTTTTTATCAAATATTTCAGGTACACATAAAAGTACAGAGAATAACATTAACAAAATGAACAACTATGTGTCAATGGCATACCACCTTAGCAAGAAATAAAACACTTTGCCATATTTACTTCAGCTCTTTTGGTAGTATTTTGTTACAGGTGACATCACTGTGAACCATCCCTCCCGCCTCCAATCCCTTTCCCTCCTTCTCTCCCCAGCCACTCTCTGGGTGTTTAACATGCCCATGCATTTTAAAACAATTTTTAATACACAGTCTGTATATATGCATATTGTTTTGCATGTTTTTAAACATTAATAAATGGCATCAAAGTGTACAAATCATTCTGCAACTTGCTTTTTCACTCAACATTGCATTCATTTTAACTGCCATATAGAATTCCATTGTATGAATATACCATAGTTATCCATTCCCCTATCGATGGCCATTTAGGTCGTTTCCATTTCTTTACTCTTACAAACAGTGCTATCATGAAGGCTTGTATGTATCTTCTTGGGTACACATTTGAGAGTTCAGAGGATATGAGCCCAGAAGTGGGCTGCGGAGTATGCACATCTTCACCTTGTCAAATTGCTCTCCAAAGTGATTGTACCAATTTACACTTTCTCCAGCTGAATATGAGAGTTTCTTTTGTTCCACATCCTCTCAAACACTTGGTATTATGAGATTTTTAAGCTTTTGTCCATCTGATGGGTATAAAAGAGAAACTCATAGTTTTTAATCTACATGTCCTGGAAGGATAATCATTTCCTCACAAACATTTATTAACTATTTGGACCATTTATTTTTTAATTTTTTTCAACGTTCACATTCCCTTTTATTCTACCACCACCTTCCCATAGAGATTAATGGTAGAGACTCTACACCCAGGCTGCCTGGGTTCAAATTCTTTCTCCATCATATCCACCTAGTGTCCTCAGACACTTCGCTATACCTCAGTTTCATCATCTATAAAGAGGCAGTAGCACCTACCTCACACAGTTGTGAGGATTTTATGAATACACATTAAGTGTTCAGAACAGTGACAACCATGTTATAAGATATAGTATTATTATTTTTACCCTTTAAGATATCAATCTTTCCAAAGTTCTCTTTTTTAAATTGAATCTCTTTTTCATTTAAAGTTTCGACTTATATTTTCTACGCTTTTAGGATCAATTATTTTAGAAGTTTTAGCATTCAAGACTTTAATCCTTTTATTCCTTTCAAGTATTAAAGTGTCCCATTTCTGTTCGCTTTGGACATCTCAATTCTTGCTTCAATAACAGCAGAGAAGCCTGACCTTGCAGAACAGCTGAGGAGAGCATCCTCACCAAACGGGGAGGGTAGATGCTTTACCCTCAGCTGTCCCTGCAGCTGCTCAGCCAGATTTCCACAGCAGATCCAGCATCCCTCTGCTTGAGAGCTTCAAAACGTCTCAACCTTAGTAACTCAGATAAAAGTCTTTCTCAGGCATGGGTCCTCCTGTGTCAATGGCACATCTGAATTACTGGCAATGTGGTTCTTTCCTTAAGTCACACCATCTAGTTACCTGAGTAGGAGTTATATATACTATGGACTCTGAAAACGTTATCCCTACTTCATTGAGCAAATCATATAGACAATGTGTGAAGAGGCAGGAAACACCAGCAAAACCAGTGTGGTAAAACACTGTGCATTAAATAGGCATCCAATATGGTGACTGCCTAGTAAGAAACAAAAGGCTCTCAATGCTGCTGACCTGGCACTAGTGAAATGTAGATGGTATTAAACCACAAGCTAGACCATCAGCAAGGAGGTACAAGGATAGATCGCAAGCTGCTCTTGGCCTTTACCTCACCAAGCTACCTGGCTCCTGTACTTCTACTTTGATTCACCTCCTGCTGCAGCGGGGTATTAGAAGGATCTTCCTTGTATGTCTAGCATTCAACACTCATGAAAGAGAGTAGAAACACCCTGGTTTGCCTCTCAGCTCTTGGAGGTGGAAAAGCGGATAACCTTCTGCCAGGCAATTATTTCTGATAGGTGCCTCAATTTTCACTAGAGGCTAGCCAAGTTGCCAACCTATTCCTCTGATCTTGAAAGCATACAAATTCACCTTCAAACAGCACAAAATAAATGCAATTCTGGACCTAGCCAGAGGCAATAACCTAAACACATTTGCAGCTCATTTCTTGTCAGAACCCGTTGAGGACAGTGGTATTGATGGAAGACTGTGTCAAGCCCATCCATTCCTCTAGTCTAGATAGCCTCGGTTTATCCACGGCTTAAGCCATCTAAAAGCTGCATAACGTTAATACAGCGGTATTCTCCAAGGTGGTGATTTTTATTTTCTTCTTTTTAAACTCTTGTATTTTCCAAATTTTCTACCATGAGAATGTGTTCTGTTTACAATAAAAGAAAAACACAATAAATGTTATTTTTAAAGCTACATACTTAGCATATACTACCTTCCCCACTCCCACCCTCCCGAACAAGTGCTTTCACTGAAAAACAACTGATAGCAGACTCTCAGCTTTCACGAGAAAACTTTATAAAAAGAAGTATTAGTGAAACCCAAAACTGTGCTTTCAGGGAGTTTTTTGTTATGCATAAGAATACTGCTGAGATTATTCTCTACTCCATCACTCAATTAATATTACGGGCCAACTTGTTTCAAAACTAAACACTAGGAAAACGGTTTCACCTGAGCAATTGGTGTCCTGTTTCTTTATGGACAATAAGAATTAAGTAACTTGTCAAGTCTCCTCTTTTCATTTTGGCAGCTGAAGGTCAGAGGCAAATACGAATTACAACTAATATCCACGCAGGACCTTATGCTTATGTAGCTTTGTTTTCAGGATCCCAGATTCCAACCTCATTTTCTGCTGTGTTCTCTTTTGAATATTCTTCTACTGTGTGGATGTATTCTTGAATCCAACCTACACCCTTCTTATGGTAAGGCAGGACAAAATTAAATATAATAGTCTACCTGCTCAATATTAATGCTTATAATTTATGTACTAAAAATTTTATACTGGGGAATAAAATCATAGTGTAGTATCTCTCTCAACCTTTCCTAATAAATAAAAACTCAGTTCAAATTCAATATAAGAAACTAGAAATTAATTATGATCCCACTCTCATACTATTAAATTTCTTTGCTATTTTCTACTTATGAAGGACATTTACTTAATTTTTTATAGCAGGACAAACAGAGAAAAAATGAAAATGCTTCTTTTATACTATGCAGATTAATTAGCAAAGGATAAACAGGTAACACAGGTATCATAAACACAGACTTTGACATCATCAGATAAAATCTGCGTTCAAATCTTGGTATCACTATTTACTAGTGGTACAAGTTGGTCATTTAAAATGTGGAGTATAACATTACCTACCTATTATGGGTGCTGTGAGAACTAAATAACATATGCAAAGCACTTAAAATAATGTTTAACATAATGTCTGCACTCAATCAGAAAAGCTGTTGCTGTCACTGTTGGTATTATATATAAAGCCTAAATGTACTCAGGTATTTCTGCCAAAGAACTATTCAAGGATTTTCTTGTATACCTGCAAAACAAAAATGTTTCCCAAAAATGGGTATTTAGCAAAATAATTCAGTGACTGTGATACTTTAACCAACTTACCTATACTGTCCAGTACGAAGAAAACAAAGAGCTCGGTTACCATAAAGAAGGTGGTTGTCAGGTCTTAAAGAGACACAATGTTTAGTCAGTAAAGCACATTACACATGAAACAAATAAAAATCACACAGAAATCATAAGGCATGAAAAAACTTTTTAAAACTTTTACATCTGTGTGGCAAAGCAAAAAGAATATAGGACCTAGAGGCTTAACTGGCTAAGTCCCAGTTCCTTCACTTCCTACCTAAGGAACTTTGTTTGAACCAACCTAAACTTCCCTATATTCAAGATGAAGATAACTCTAGTTGCTCTAACTCATAGGGCTGTTGTGAGGATCAAACGTGACATACTAAAGAGCTAGCAAATGGCAGAGTAACTCTAGAGGATAGCATTACTTATATAAAAAGTCAGGACTATGTTGTTTTGGCAAAGAACTGAGAAAGGAAGTCTAGAGTACCTGCAAATTAAAATAGCTTCATCTGAACTTTTGTTTTTTAGTTTTATCTAACTATGTGTGGTGAAATGTATCTCCCTTTCCTCCACTTCTTCTTCAAAAGAATAGGGCAGCAGCCTTTCAAGGTGGCACACTAACTGGATTCCCTCGTTCCCTGTAGAGATGGGCAAGGGAGGAGAGAGTAGTGACTACAGAGTATCCTCCAAAGGCTGGTACAATATTAGGTGGCCAGCTGAGACAATAGGGGCAGAGTTATGAGGCACATCTGGAGGAAAGCTACAAAATTATAGCAGCTGAGTAAAGAGAAGACAAGGAAGAGAACATGTATACATCTTTCTTTCAATTATCCTGTAAAAGTTCCCTCTTAGCAAAAAACCCTGAATGGGTGGCATCATAAGTATTAGAACTAACCCTTTTTGACCAGTTAATAATTTGGGAGGACTTGGTTGATGGCAAAATAAGAACAAGACAAAAGATGTAACTCTGTACTGGAAAATGTTATGTTAAAGAAAATGTCAGAGTGCAGAACCAAATTCACAATTTTGTCTGACTTGCTTGAATGATGCTACTAGATTAAGTTCATATATCCAAGCCACCTCCAATGCTTCTAATGCTCAAAGATGAGAAAATTTATTCTGCATAACAAGTTGGAAGATATTCTCTAATTCTTCATTTAGTTTTTATTTCTTCTGACTACCATTCTAACTTGATCTGCCACAGAAACAGTATCTCTTTGTTCTGTTTTGCTCTTACCTATATTCAATGGCTCTGGTGTAATAGATAATAGCTATATCAAATCTTTCTTTGGAAAACTCTTCATTTCCTTTCATTTTCATTAGTTCTCCTTGCTGAGAAACCAAGGTGAAAGAAGACCCATCAATTAGCTCCAAAGACAATCAAGAACCCAATACCTAGGAAAAATGGATCAGGGTTTCTATCTTGGATATCAGAAATAACCTAGGGGATAATTTATGTTGAAAATGAGATTACAATGCCAAATATCTTGTTATATATATACGTATACACACACACACACACACACACACACACACACACACACATATATGTATGTACCTATTATTTAGAGACAGGGTCTCACTGTGTCACACAGGTTGGAGGGCAATGGCACAATCACAGCTCACTGCAGCCTCGAACTCCCAGGCCCAAGGGATCCTCCCATCTCAGTCTCCCAATAGCTAGGACTGCAAGTGCATCCCACCATGCTGAACTAATTTTTAAAAATTTTTTGGAGGGATGAAGTCTTGCTATGTTGCCCAAGCTGGTCTTGAACTTCTGACCTCAGGTAATCTTTCCACCTTGGCCTCCCAAAGTGCTGGGATTACAGGTGTGAGTCACCATGCACAGCCCTGATATATATATATATATTTAAATAAGCCTGTCTCAAATGATTCAACACTAACTTTGTTAAAGAATATTAAAAACTAAACAAAACCATCACATTATGAATAATTACTCATATTTTTGTGCAGTATTTTGTAGACCCACTTTTAACTATACCTTATCAATAAGGTAATAAAACTAAAAAATAGATGTAAAGTAGGATTTTAACTTAAGGTTAGCAAATGTGGTATTATTCAAGAAGCCTTAATGCCTAAAAACATATATAAATCAATAACATAGAGGCAACACTGATTAGATTAAGTGTAAGGCATGAGGTGACAGGTTAACGAGAATATATATTGAAAGGTGCTAGAGACATAACTAAAACTTCACTTCACTCAATTTCTTTTTAATAAATAAACTGAAATAAGCCACATCATATCAATGGCATCAGGGAATTCAACAGACCAGCATACATGTCCCCAAATTCCTTTTTAAAAATTGAGTTAAAACCGTATTTCCCTGAGTGAACAGCGTAGCATGTGAATTACATCTCAGCTGTTACCAAGGAAAACCGTATTTCTTCAACTCATTAAAGACTAGTTTTTAAAAATCAAATTTTCACTTTCGATGAGTGGTTTTTTAATCATTTGAAAATTCTGATCAAGATATTAGTTCTTCATCTTCAAAAATAAATTCCAAATCAGAATCTATTAAAACTTCCCCCTCAATGTAACGAACTGCACCATATGTACATGTACCCCAGAACTTAAAGTAGACTAAATAAATTTAAAAATAAAATAAAAAAAACAGGGAACTGGTGAAATCCTTGCAATAGAAATACAAACAAAATTTTGGTCCTGGAAAAAAAAAAATTTCCCCCTCAAACATGTCATCCAATTTTATGAATTGTATGTTGTCGGCAGTTTAATTAAGTTCCTCTGAGTATTAAAAGGTCTAATGGGCAAATCTTAAAATGTATTTACAATATTCATTCTCACCTCTATACAATCCATACAACTTTGGGTTTTAAGTTCTTCAAGCAAATTGCAGTCTTCTACTACAATTTTAATTATGTGGTACTTGTCTAAGTTTTATTTTTAGGAAAGAGCAAGAGAGAACATTTGTTAAAAAAATTGGTATTGATAATATTAGAATTCTTAAGTTACATGAGTCCATAAAAGTCCTATATTATTATTCTTTCTAAATAGCACGTTTCTTGTAACCTCTTATGTGTATTAAATAACATAGTAAGAAAAAAACTAATAAAATGTTGCAGCAAACATCAGTTATTTCTTGATGTGAATCTAATCTCAGTTTTTACTTCTAGCAATAAAAACCCTTGTTTATCATTATATTAGTTGCAATTGTATTTACAATATATGCTCTGTCGTAACACATTCCAAATAGGCCACATAATTGCTTAAGTCAATTCAATAAACATTGTCAAGTGTGTACGGTGTACCATGTACAATATTCAACAAAAATGAATGAAAACAAAAAGCTGGAAAACTACTTTCTACAATATATTTCATATACAGGTTGAGTATCTCTTACTCAAAATGCTTGGGATAAGAAGTGTTTTGGATTTTGGACAATTTTGGATTTTGGAATACTTGCATTATACTGGATGAGCATCCCAAATCTAAAATCTCAAAATGTTCCAATGAGCATTTCCTTTCAGTGTCATAGCAAAGCTCAGAAAGCTTCAAATTTTTGGAGCATTTCAGGTTTTGGATTTTTGATGCTCAATCTATTTTAAATAAATAATTTCAAATGTCTTTTATTCAGTATTTTTACTCTCATGAGTAAATATTACAATAAGAAGTTATTTGAAACACTATTCTTATAAAAATTTAATAAACTAAGATGCAGTAAGTAACCAAGTTTATCAGGCCTCATTTTCTACATTGTAAGCCATTATATAAAAGGGATATTTTAAAGTGGGGAAAAAAAATTACTGCAACAAAACTACAGTTAGGCCTCTAGCCAAACATTCATTTGTAAAGTAAGAGAAGCACCTACAATTTAAGATTTAATAAAGGACCTAGGAAAGTAACCAAATAAAGAAATTCTAAGGGACAGAGTAAGATTACAAGGAGGAAAACCCGGGCTTTGAGATCAGAAAGATCTGACTTATTTAGTCTTATCTACTACTTACTAGACTGCAGAAGTAACACTTAACCTCTCAAAGTCAGTGTGCTCACTGCTATAATAAAGACAATAGCAGCCACCTTGCAGAGCTATTTTAAAGAAAATGGCACGTAAAAAATCAGCTGTAAGCCTAAAGAAGTATGCCAAATACAAGATACTGCTTCTCTACTTCCACCATAAAAGCTAGCTTATAATTAAGGGCCTCTAAAACAATGAAGAGAACAATCTATCAGTGTAATACACCCCCATGTCTAATAAACCTATGAGAAAGATGTGTCTTCATTTAATTCCTTTCTAGCACTTAAGTCAATAGTGCAAAATTTGCCTTTATCTCAGCAGAGATGGCAAATCATTGGTCATCATCATCATCTACTTAAAAGCCAAACTGGCTGGGCGCAGTGGCTCACACCTATAATCCTAGAACTTTGGGAGGCCAAGGCGGGCGGATCACCTGAGGTTAGGAGTTTGAGACCAGCCTGGCCAACATGGAGAAACCCCGTCTCTACTAAAAACACAAAATTAGCCAGTGGTGTGTGCCTGTAATCCCAGCTACTCAGGAGCTGAGAGAGGAGAATCGCTTGAACCCAGGAAGCGGAGGTTGCGGTGAGCCCAGATCTCGACATTGTACTCCAGCCTGGGTAACAAGAGTGAAACTCCATCTCCAAAAAAAAAGCCAAACCTTTCCTGTTTCAAGATTCTTATAACTGCACTGTAAAAACACTGCCAATTAATATTCAAATGCTTTAAAGAAAAATATTTCACAAAGTAAAAGAAACATGTAAGGCCATCATACATAAAATAATAACAGATTCATGAGGAAAATCATAAGGTTAGCTTCTGTGACTTTTTCTTACAAAGGAGAATACATGAGCCCCAGTTGTGGTCTCTTTAAGTATTATATATAGTAACTTATGATATCCATTTGGTGAAATTTTTTAAGTGCAATGTCATAAAAATCATAAAGACAGAAAATATGGAATAAAACTACCAGGTTGAAATTCTCTTTTTTAGGAACATATACCAAAAGAAAAAAATTTTTTATTCTAAATCAGAAATCACATAACTACACATCTCATTTTCCCAAATACCTTTAAAACTGAGTCAAGTAACAATTTAAAGCATTTATACTTACATTCAGTAAAGAAAATACTTAACATAGGCCAACAATTGTCAATTGATCCTAATTTAGTTAGGATTGTTACATCTCCTGCATATTTTATCCAATTCAGAGCTTCTTCCATTACCAAGATTTTCTGTTTCAAAAGAGGAATGAAGAATGGGGATTTGGGTATTAATTTTAAATTTGCATGTGGTATTATAAATTCATCTTATACAAGTATTTCAGATCCTTAATACGAAACTTGTACAACACCTTATTTTTTGCTACTCCAGCAAATAAGTCTGTAACCTAGAGTTGACAGACCCTGACATGTTCAGATACCGTGGACTCATATATGTTACCTCTTCAGGTGACCTTAGACCACCTTCGGAGCTCAAGATGCTTCTGTAATTGATTACAGACCTGGAATTTGAGGTTTATAACCTGGCCAGAGACTGTCTGGGGTAGCAGGCGAGTGCAATATAAGAAGGTATATAAGGGTTCCCAGATCTCAACTACATTAGACTTCCATCCTTACACCAAGGTTAAATGTATAGATTCAAGTTCACCAAAGGAACTACATATTTTACGTCATCTGTGGCAAACAATAAGAAGGAGATAAAAAACAAGATGAAGCTGTGGCTGGGCAAATGGGCCCTCAGTGTAGTGATCTCCATGAAGGATGAAGAAGTCACAGAAATGTTATTTGTACTTCTAGTGTATGAAGTAACTTCAAAAATTAAATAGTTAACAATGTTGGCGGTATCAGGCTTAAGGGAAACATAGACGTTTATGGCATCAGTATCATTAAAAATTGGTTTATCATTGAATCTGGAGATTACCTAGTAATTATATATCAAAAAATAATCATACCAGAGGCCTAATAATTTCATTTGGGGAAACATAAGCCAGGTAAATAATCTAAAAGAGAAAAAAGAATCAACTTGTAAAATAGGCTCAAAATTACACTATGTACATGGGTTTAAAAAAAAAAAATGAAAATGATCCAACCCCCCAAAATAAGGAGACGGCTTAAGGAAAATATACACGTCAATACTACCAAACACCACATATAGAACATTGAGTGTGTGGACTCCATATAAGGGGAAATGAGCAGTGAGGTGACTGCCACTCATTCACAGTGGGTGTGCCAGGTTCTGTGTTTATCACTTACATTTTCTATTTTATAACCAATTCTCAATAAGCCTCCAATAAGGAATGAATCATTCTGAAAAATAAAAAAAAGAACACGACATACTTTTTTCCTTATTCAGTCAATTCTACTTGAATTTTCTAATGGAAAAATGGCCTACGTTTTAGGACTACTACCATATGTACACAATACTACACTTCACACAAAAATTTACATGACCAAGTTACCCCTTAAGACCTTAAAACAAGAATTCCAAAATAGTCTCTCAAAGGGTTCTAGTAATAAAATAACTTAGTATAATCTTTAGACACGTGAATTTTTTTTTATTTTTTGAGACAGGGTCTCACTAGGTCGTCCAGGCTGGAATGCAGTGCCACGATCTCAGCTCACCGCAACCTTTGCCTCCCAGGCTCAAGCATTTCTCCTGCCTCAGCCTCCCAAGTAGCTGGGATTACAGGCACATGACACTACCGCCTGGCTAATTTTTCTATTTTTAGTAGAGATAGGGTTTCAACATGTTGACCAGGCTGGTCTTGAACTCCTGATCTCAAATGATCCACCTGCCTTGGCCTCCCAAAGTGCTGGGATTACAGGCGTGAGCCACTGTGACCAGCCAACATGAATTTTCAAAGTTCATGGCACTAGGCCAGGCACAGTGGCTCAAACCTGTAATCCCAACACCCAAGGCAGGTGGATTACCTGAAGCCAGGAGATCAAGACCAGGCTGGCCAACATGGTGAAACTCCGTCTCTACTAAAAGTACAAAAATTAGCTAGGCATGGTGGTGGGCACCTAGAGTCCCAGCTACTCCAGAGGCTGAGGCAGGAGAATCACTTGAATCTGGGAGGCAGCGATTGCAATAAGCCGAGATCTCGCCACTGTATTCCAGCATAGGCAACAGAGGGAGACTCCACCTCAAATAATAATAAAGTACATATTGCACTTAAATTTTTTAATAAAGGTACACTGGCTTGTACGTTACTGCAAAAGAACTACTGCATAAACATCAGAATGCTCTTTCTAAATATAATAGTACCAAGAATAGCACTTGGCTCCATAACCAAGTGAAATTTAAAAAGCTAACAAATAAGGCTGGGCACGGTGGCTCAAGCCTGTAATCCCAGCACTTTGGGAGGCCAAGGCGGGTGGATCACGAGGTCAAGAGATCGAGAGGTCAACATGGTGAAACCCCGTCTCTACTAAAAATACAAAACATTAGCTGGGCATGGTGGCGCGTGCCTGTAATCCCAGCTACTCAGGAGGCCGACGCAGGAGAATTGCTTGAACCCAGGAGGCGGAGGTTGCGGTGAGCCGAGATCGCACCATTGCACTCCAGCCTGGGTAACAAGAGCGAAACTCTGTCTCAAAAAAAAAAAAAAAAGCTAACAAATAGTTGTCAAAAAAAATTTTTAAGCCACAAAAAAACTCTCAACATAGTACAAGGAAGGACACCTCCTAAAATATTGCCCTGACAAAATCTACCCCTACCCAAAGACAAAATATTTGTTGATGGTGATCTGATTTTTTATCAACAGACAGAGTATATCACTTTCAGAACCTGTGGCAGAGGTTTCTATGAACCCATGCCCCACTTTCTGTAACAGTTTCCCATTTCTGTCCTTTAATAAGATGCAGTCCTGGTCCCCAACATAGAACCATGACAGCAGCCATCTCCCTGATCTCTTAAATACTGAGCATCCACTGATGGATAGTAGATTCATCTTATGTTAACCACTCCATTACCTGTTAATGGCTATAAATTAGTCATATGAGCCTAACACCATATAAATGCTTATATTATTTAAATCAAGGGCTGAGGGGGAACCTACATTCTACCACTTACAGCAACTTTCTTTGCCAAATCCACAATATCTTCCATCAACTCAAGATGTTGTAATTTCTTCAAATTTATCTCAGAAGCACGTGAATTGCTTAAAGACAAATTTATTTTTTAAAAGATTAGATTCTCATATATAGAAATTCATTGAACTTTATGCTTAACTATATACCTCAAACCATTAAAAAAAAAAGTTCTCTTTTTCTTCACTCTAGGTAACAATAACTAAGCCATTTATTAAATGAACAAAATGTTGTATCTTTTTCTTCTCTTCTGTCCTATAACACTGATATTTTTAACAAGCATGTTAATTCTTCCCAACTCAGCTTCAAGTCTACCATCTAATACTATTCAGAATTTCACTGATTATGTTACTATTATTCACTCATATCCAAATCTCAAGTATTTGGATTATTAAACAAAAGTTGAGCAGCATACAAGAGTAACACATAAGCCTACTACTGAACTTGCATTCCTCGGTATTGGGCAATATGCTTCTATCACTGGCCATACAAAATAAGTAACATATAGTAACTTACTTGGCGTCCACACAGGGATGCAATCGTGAAATTACAGAACTGTTCTGATGTTGAAACAGAAGTGGCCAGAAGATATTTATTTTGATGGCATCACAATAATCTCGTAGGACAGAAACTGGTTTGTTACACCATATATTGCAGATGTCAAATTCTCAATTTAAAAAAAAAGTTTAAAATTAATGTTTGAGCCTCATTTTGGAATGAATCATCATTGTTAATAGCAAAAAAGGAAAAGTGGATATGAAGAGCCAATAAATGAATGAAGTATTTTAGCCTGTTAAATGTTAAGAATATTTAAGCGCTAGCTAAAAGTCTATTTTAACAAAGAAAAGTTCTGATTTCATATAAATCTATTGTGTTGCTATGACAGGATGGATGGACCTCCCTTTATCCCATAATCTATCTCATAAATTAACATTAAAAAACCATGTACTCACCTAAATTTCTCTCACTTTGAGCATAATCTTTATATTGCATACCCTAAAAAGAAGAAAATTCTTTTGATTTGTATCTAGTAAAATGTAAAAGTATAGTTACTGATTTTTAATCTAAGGATTATCAAAACTAACCAAAAAATTTTCAGTGCACATTCATTTGTATGCTTCAAACACATCTTCAGCCAATGAGTCTTAATTTGAGACCCTTTTCACAGTATTTCCTGAGTTTGCTCCTATGGCTCTCCCCAAGAGCTTTTCTAATCCCACCAGAAAACGGCTTTTTGCCACCACTCGTTCTCTGGCATTCCACAATCTTTTACTTTTGACCCACTGCTTACTTTCCCTTCTCAAATCACCTTTTCAAAAACGCATGTTCCTTCTTCCCTGTCAAAACCCATGTACCACAAAAACATCTTTACTCAGATACCCCTAAACCAGAAAACCTTCAACACACAATGTCAAAAACAGAAAATTAGCAAACCTACTTACCACCCCATCACAGTAAAGCTGAGTCACACGAACATAATCATCGGTCATAAATTCAGCAGCAAACACACAATCATCCACGTCCACGTAAGGGCAATCTTCTAACAAGGCACAATCTGCCACAGTGAAATCTCCCTCGGCAAAATTGTTCATGATGCACAAGTCTAAAGAGACAACACAAATTCAAGTCAGTAATTAAATCATTTGAGATGACAGAAGAAACAGTTTTCCTGGCTTCTACAGTATATTAGAAAAATACTTGGAACCTATGCCCCCCAAAAAAATTCCAATCAAAACACTGAGCTCCGAAAGATTCCTGTCCCCATTCTGCTGTTCTTCTCCCCTGACTCTCTCCTGATTATTTAATTATTTTTCTTCCTTTCCTCAGGTTCACGTATTCATCATCTCTGTTCTAAGTTAATCTCTTTACCTGTCTCCTTTAAATGGAGGATTATTAAGGGCATCTGATTTATCTTTGTATGTGCCTAGCACATGGTAAGCTCTCAAGTAACTGTTTGCTGAATAAAGAAAAGACATCTTCCCATTGCTGCACTTGTACCCTACCTGCTTTTACTGCATTGTATGAAATATGCCATTTCACCAACACAAACTGCTATATTCTAAACCTCCTGGCCTGACCTAAATCCTGACTCCACTGAGAACTGTTTCCTATCAACTGCTCAGATTCTCCTATCAATCTCTCAGTGTGTTTCTGTCCCAGGCAAAGGAGTAAGGCTAGAGTGGTACAGGTAAGTCTGCCAATCTCCTAACTCCCCAAGGTGGCATCCAGACCTTCCGTCTTCCTCTTGACTGCTGCTTCTAATGCTCTCACAACTACTGCAATACACAATCGGCACTGCTACCTCACCAAAAAAGGAAAAACATCACATTATCAAAAGCCATGATTTAAAAATACTTATTTCAATGGGAGGAAAGGGGGTTTACTGCTAAAGTTTCAGGGGTTTTTTCCTGAAGAAAGTTCAATAATGAGGATTTTTATAGTTATCAGAGAATAGCTACATAGCCTAAACATCACTGAAAAATGCACCATTTTATTATGTCTAGCTCTTGCCCACATCATGGCTTTCCTTTCCTATCCACCAGCACATCATTAACACTGTTCCTTATACCTATCACTTCACCATTATTACCCCACTATTATTAGGATAAACTAAGTTTCTTCTTTCCAAAGCAAGACCATCACCAGTCCCTGAAATACAAATGTATTCAATTAATCAATCCATCTCCTGATGTCCACGTCGCTGTATGAAAACCTCACAGTATCACAAGTGAAGAACAGTAACAATCTTCCCAGCAAACTATTTGTACTATGTGCCACATACTGTACCAGATGTTTTACATGCATTTCACTATTCCTCACAGCAATTCTTCTTGGCAGACACAATTATCATCATCTTAACTGTACAAATGGGAAAATGCTCAGTAAAATTAAATAATTTGTTCAGGTCACCAAGCTAGGAAGGATTCCAATCCCGTCTTTAGTTGCCATAGTTTCTACTCTCAAACACACTCTTTCACTACATCTACTTTTCCTGTTATTGCCACCTACTTATCTTTTGGTTACTGTCACCTTTCAAGATCAATGGCAACTAGTTCAGTGTTTTTAATCTTTCCTCCAAATTCTATTTTCATCTCAGCCACATCAAGGTCCATGCACACAATACCCCAGCCTTGCAGTTTAACAACCTCCTCAACTAACATGAACTTCACTGCCTACCTCACTAGATTCTCCCACCACAGGGCAATACCTCAGGTCACTACCTAGGTCAAACCAGTTTTTACATCTTTTATACTCTTATTAGCTCCTCTCTGACCATAGCCAAGAGTCATTATGCTCATGTCTTCCTGATCTCCTACCACAGTCATGCTTCAACTTCATCAAGAACTCTTCATTTTTCACCCATCTGAATTCTCCATTCTCATTCACTTTCAGTTTCCTATGACTTGGTTTCCAATTCTACCATTCAAGGGAAACTGCTTTCATTAAGATCATTAATGACCTTCTACAAAAAACTGCTATCTATAATGTCTAGAACCTGACCTACTCTGCATAAATATTTCCAGAGTTTAAAAAATTTAACTCCAAAAGTGAATAATGACCAGAAAAAAGACACTGGAGCACCCGAACTATAGCACATAACATGAGGTATATGCTAAACTTACTTGTCTCACAAACTTTTTTGGCATAAAATACAGAAAGAGCCAAGAACTGTCACAGCCCACGCATCATGGCGTCAATTACAATACAATTAATGTGCTCATACCTGGCAGACTGATACTGGTCATTCGAGTCTGGCAAATCTCACTGATACCACACACAGCACCAATTGTACTGTAATTACGACATTGGGGTAATTTTTATTTTCTATTTTGTTTTTAACTAGAGAGGCAATGTGACAAAGTGGTTAAGAACATGGACTCTGTAGCCAAGACTCTCGGCTTGAATCCTGGCTCTCTTGTTTCCTTGCGTGTGTGATCTTGGGCAAGTTACTTAACCTCTCTGTGCTTCCTCTGTGTTTATCAAATGGGGATAACAATACTACCTACCTGAATAATCAGTTAACACATGTGAAGTGCTTAGAAGAGTACCAGGTATATGAGAAATGCTATAAATACCAGCTATCTTTAACCTTAATGTTAGATGAGTATTTTTTTAAATCCACTGTTTGGATGCTTCCAGCTAAATAGTCTACCTTAATTGCTAAATCCAAAGAGCACTTTTCAGCTTACAACTTACTTGACGCTGTGGACCACTTCCTCCTCAGAACTCTTCATTTGGACTCCAAAGACCATCTTCTCTGGTTCTCCTCCTATTCGTCTGGCTGCTCTTCCTCAGTTTCCTTCATGGGCTCTTCTTCTCCATTCCCCGCCACCCAATGTCAACTCTCTTTTCTTCTCACTCTTACTCTCTCCTTGGGTAAATTTATCCACCACACCCATGGCTTAACACAGCACTTTCTGAACTTTCATCGTTTGTATAGCTTCACCATGATGTTTGCCATTTCCATGTATCACATATATTTTTAGTTTATATTTCCCTTTTATTGAGCTCATTTGGCCTAAGTGATGATGTCCATGATTATCAAAGGTTAGATGTGCAAATTATGTTTCTCATAAACATTAAATTCCTATCTACTAAAATTTTTTCAAGTGTTTATCTATGTACCAGTTTAAATTCTCTCAAATGCACTGCAGTAAACAATGGCTTCCAAACTTTCAAATGATGAAGATTCCCAAATCTTTCCAGGCAGTGTTGTATCACTTGACTTCCAGACCCTCCCTGTCAATCTCTGTCAACTACTACAGGATCTTAACCAAGATGTCCCACAAGCCCCTCAGAATCAGTTAAGTTCAAAAACAAACATCTTTTTCCTCAAAGACAAACAAATGAAACCAAGTTCTTTCCTCTTTCTGTATGCTGTTTATCATAATTGTTCTACATGCCATTTTACCACCCAAACCTAAACCCTGGGAGTCAACCTAGACTCCCCAGTCTCCTTCAACATTTCTGTCCAACTGACCACTAACTCTTGCCATTTCTGCTTCCCTAAGAAATCTAAAGTTAGCACACATATACTTCTTCATGCCCAGTACCACTGCCTTCATTGTTTCTCCTCTGAACCAATTTAACAAGCAGTCTCCTCTGGTCAGGCTTGCCTTCAATCTCGGCACCCTCTAAAACTCTGATCATATCACTTTTCTGCCTAAAACCATGCAACAGCTTCCCTTCAGTTTGAGAATAAGTCCAACTTCCCTAACAAAAGCACAGAAGACCTTTTGTGATGTTGCTCCTGCTTTTATCCCCAGTCACTCCACAACACACAACCTAGAAGCCAGTCATACCCAACTGCTTGTCCTTCCTAAACAAAACTTATTCTGCAACCACCTAATGCCTATCAGTCCCTAATACCCAATTCCAGGAAAGATTTCCTATCTTCTCACTACCATCAAGTTTATTTTTGGACCTCTTCTCTGTAAACAAGAGCACCTTGCCCATGTCTCTGGATAGCAGTTTTCACCCTGCTTGATCATCACAGGTTTATCTCTGTAGGGTCACTTTGGATCCAGAGGATATATTGTGTAATCCACTTGTCATCTGTACTGCTATTCACTTAAGAGTTTTCTTTAGGATAACTCAAATTTTAACTTAGATGTAAACTAGTTTTAATAGAAATGTTGATATCACCAAGAATCCTTGTTTGGTACCATAAATTTTTTTCTAATACAAACAAAAATAAATATACTACTAAAATATTAAAATAAAGAACTGATCTCATCAGTTGTGGTGAACTAGACACTCTGGGGGAATGTACTATTGGTAGAAAAAAGGTAGATCCTAGATTTTTAAAAAACACTTTTTGAATGTTTTTTGCTGAGATCATAGAAACGGGAAAATCTGAAGCCACGCTCTCCACGCAAAAGCAACAAACTTTGAGCTAGAAATTAAACTTGGCTACAGTTTAGAGCCATAAATAGTGGTGCCAAGAGTAGTAGTAGGATCAGGACACAGAGCACTGGGCCAGAAACAAAATATAGGAACTGAAAAGTGATCCCAGTTAAACTTCCTGGCTCCCAGACAAATTTGATAAAAATGCTTTCAGAAAGAAAGCATCCCCAAATTAGACTCTCAAGATTCCTACAAAGATCAATCAAACAGAAGTTCTTAATCAATGATCACCAAACACAGGAGGTGACTGCTACACTGAGGGAGGGACAACAACAACAACAACAACATGGCAATAAACGTAGACATCCCTCTTCCGAGGGATATCAGACATTAGGAAGGCTTGATATAGTCTACAGAATACCTACAGAGTCACAAAAATCACCAAATAACGTGAGAAGATGAAGAATGACTCGGCATATCAAAAGAGAATCAAGCAGAACTTTTAGAAATTAAAAATGCAATTGTTAAAAGAAAAAAAAAAGATGGGATGGGGTACAGAGGATATTAGGCACAGCTGAAGAGAAAATTGGTGAACTATAATATATGCCTTATGAAATTACTCAGCACTGTAAATTCTGAAAAAGAGAAACAAAGAGATAAAAAATATGAAAGATAAAGAATAAGTGATCTGGAAACAGTTTAGTACATATATACATATACAGTTAAAGTTCCAGCAGCAAAGAGATTAATGAGACA